TATATCTCACTTTTAAAAGTATAACCTACCCATATTTCCCCCCATTTCTTTTTCACTCTTTAGGCAATTTGCCACACTAATTTGGGGATTATACCACTATGGTCCCGGGACATTCAATTACACTTCTTAGGGCTTCTACTGGCTTTTAACTCTTTTGGCACGCAATGGGTGTGCGTTTAATGGTCTCCGCTCACACTTAACCTCGAGGTCGCGTAATGTCGGTTGCAGCCGCTTTTTTTTTTTACAATTCATAGCACACACAGATACATTATACCACACGCATTTAGGGAATAATAGTAATTTAATTTGCAAACTAGGTGTCTCTATGAGTAAGCTGGAGAAACTTTTGATTTGCATGGTACTGCTATTCTACCTCAGTCTCCCTGATAACGCATACACACATGACGCACTGCTGCCATATAGATAAGGGTGGAATCAGCTCCCAGTGCCTTTTTTCTTTTTTTTTTTGAATGCGCTGGACCACTACCTAGAGGAAGAGCTAGCCAACTCTAACTCACAATCTCGTCGTGATTCAATCTGCGTACGCAGAACATGACGTGCCATTTAATGTATATCGCAATAGGCTGTGCTGCAAAGTAAACAATTGATAGTGCAGGTCTCACAACAGTATCAAAACTAACAAGAACTCTATAAAAACGATGACGAGGAATGGGAGGCTATATACAAAGTCCTTTGATGATGATTTGTATGCTAGAGACGAAGTGCTGCGTACTATACACGTGGATGTTGGCGGCGAGACAGAGCATAGGGGATGAGAGAAGCGTGAGTTTGTATGCTCAGCCCGGCGGCACCCGATTCTGTCGCGTATCGATATACATGACCTAAAAGGGCGCGAGAAATATGGAAGACAGGGACACGGGGTACAGTAACACTACAGGCAGATGACTCTAATAGGGATGCCAGAGCGACGAGTATGCCGCTACCGGCTGAGGAGTCTTCTTGAAACGTGCCGAGGAAACCAAGTCCGCTATGAGTCGTCCAGTGCTTCCCAGAGTCTCGGGGCCAGGAAGAGATGGGCACCCGTTCAGGGTAGTAGGTGAGACCTCGGTGCTGGCAAATAGACACAGTCGTCTGACAGTAGTTGCTGTCAGGTTGCAGACTCCTGGTGCGCGCTGATGGCGGCGCTGCAACAGCATTCAGACACAAAAGAGCATAAAGTGTATGCACGCATACGATGTGCACCAACCAACAGACGGCAGCGAGAAGAGTGTCGGCGAGAGGAGGAGAGGGCGCGAGAGGGAGAGAGATTGCGTTGCTATACAAATACTACTGCATAACTGAAAATGCTTACGTAGTCAGGCCAAATGTAAGGACTGATGCTAAAACAAATCGCCCACCCCATTTCTATAATAATATACACAGACACTCTCAAAGATACTTAGCCCCGTCCAGAACTCCACTATTTCACTACGACAATCTGTAATACACACGCCTATTATACTGACAGTATATAGCAATGCGCGCTGTACTGAAACGCATGTATCGCACTAGATTGGAATATAATACCTGCCTGACTGGCTTCAGTTTCTTGGCCAATCAGTGTGAGTTGCTGGTCTCATGACCCACTTGCTGATGCTTAGTGACTCATTCGGAGATGCACAGCAGAGATAGCACGTAAAGAAAGAAACTAGCTGTGTTTTCTATAGCCAGCCAGAACACAGCGCGTCTATTGTAATTGTTTCAGTCTGCTAGTACTATACATATGATTATGGAACTCATAGAGTAGAAGTAGCAGTGGGTCACAGAGGATGTGCGCGGAGTATGAGTCATGAGCTTTATCTGTAGCGGTTGTGTCCTGACTGCCTGTGCGTATGCCGACGAGCAACTGACTTTGTTTAGCTGGTTAGCGTCTGCCCCATGCGGACAGCAGCTCATCACAATCTCACTTCAGCACACCATGTGTGCCGCTACGTATCAGAGGGGTAGCAGCAGCAGTGCAACACCCTACAAGCCCTGAGACTTACACACACTCAGAGAGACGACGTCCTGAAAGGATTTAGCGAGTATTGTCTTCTTTTCTTCCTTTTCAGCAACTGCCTCAAGATAGCAGGCCTTACTGTGTCTTGACGCGATTGGCATCCTTTAACAGCAGCTCTGTGATGCGATATCCGTGTTCTCGTTTGCGCACTGGCAATCTGAGCAGGGACGGGCATCTCAGTTCCTACACACACAAAACACACCGCCCGCAATGCCCGCCACTCTGTCCGGTATCTGCTGTAGCTACTAGAACGGACTCACATATTGGAGATGTGGGGATTTGCCTCTCATAGCTCAGCAGCGTTTGACTCAAGGATAGATTGCTCATCTACAGGCCAATAGGAGCCGCAGTTCACCATACTATATATGAGGATCGGAAGAAGAAACCGCTAGGCACCCACGGTATATACACAGATGCATGCAAAAAAACTGTACACTGTCTTGTAGCGTCAACGTCAGCAGCGTTGACTGTCCAATAGAGACATTCACAACTTTTCTTCATTTCTCTACCAATGGCCAGACAGGCCAGACTATTTGTCTTATTCTTTCATGATAGGAGATGTTGCTCAAGTTGATCGCTGCGCTTAACTCATGCTCATTCACTTATCTGAGAGAAGTTGTGGAGTCTGCCCAGCCTGCCGATTATCTACAGGGCAACTCATCATGACGTTTGTACACTGCGAGCCATCAGAGCTGACCAGCCACCTGGCGAGAGACATCATGGCTTATACTCTAGTACTAATGTTCTAAGCTTTGCCTCAACCCACATGCTTAGCTTGCCATGTCCGGGTGGCCCCCTCTCTCTGTAAAGATCAACAGCCACCACTATCTGTCATTTCTTCGCCGCCACTGCCATTCGTGCCGTCCAGCATAGCCTGTCCTGTGTGTGTTATATAATATTATAACATACGTAATCCTACGCTACCTAAACCGTTTGTACTCCTAAGGTAATATGACGCTCACAGACCCAGTTGCGCCAGGTTTGATCAGCTACCATGGTCCAGCAGACATTTTGCGTACACATCACCAGTTCTGCTGGCCGCCATCAGCAGAGAAGAAGTCAGTCGTCTGGGAGTTAGAAATATGACTGATTGGCTGGTGCAAAAATGCTTTGCTATATCATACATACATCATATAAAGACATAACAACTGCGTTTCATCCACTCATGCACTGATGCCTCAATTCGCTGGTCGTCTATTAGCTATACGGTTATGACGAGTGAGTCAAGCAAACTTAGAGGCGTATGTAGAACGAACTACTACATCAGAGAAACTTCTACGACCACTGAAGCCGCCACTCGCCTGACTCTTTCTTGCGAGGAGCTGGCAAATTGAGTCATACTTACAGTTGAACTGCCTGCATAAAGCAGAGAAACGCTCCATCCTTTCACTGCGCGCGAGTGAGTCGTTGCACCTATCTGGAGGGCCAACTCCGTGTCAGCTCCTGCTCTGCTTTATGACCACAGCTTCACTACCTGCCTCCACGACGGCTGGCCGTGTTCCTGCCATTCGTAGCCTTCTGCCTCAGGAATCTACCTACGCTCCTCTATGAACAGTCTTGGTGAGGCATTCTCTGGGGACAGAACCCGATCCAGCCTTATCTCTTCAAGCTTTGCCTGGCGATGCGTAGTGCTCCCCAAATTGTCGCCATCTGTGCACAATGTCACTTACTTCGCTTTCCACTTCAAAGCAATCTTCTATAGAACCGAGTAAGCTTATAGAAACTAGCACATGCTCTATGATTTATATACCTGGTCCTAATGTAGAATCGTCTACTTTATCAAGCACTTCGTTCACACTGGATTGAAGCGCTTTGTGTACAGATTGTAGACCTGGAAAAGTTGTGGCGGCGACCGGCAGTGAGCTAACTTACTGGTTGTCAGGCGGACTCACTCATTTTCCGTCCTGCCCGCAGCGCACGCTGTTGCGCGGCTGGAGTAGGTGTTCGGACCAGCAACGCCTCGAACCGCCAAGTCGGACCTCGTTCCCCTTCTTAGCAAGAAGCCCCACCTATTACTGTATAGTAATACCGCGGCTATACTGCGCGCGGCGGAACCACTCTGCATGTGTTCATTTGGAGTCCTCGGGAAAAAGACGTGTGTCTTTTGCAGCAGAGCAAGCATTCCTATGTTTCATAAAGTCAGCTTCCTACGTGACAAGCAATTTCAAGTGTTCTTCAAGAAACTCTTGGTCAGCTATTATCGGCAAAGCTGGGTTACCTCCCCACTTGCCAATATTGGCATAAAGCTACACTATGCACCTGCGATAAAGTTAGTGACTCTAGTGTAGAAAACCAAATGTCATTGTACATGAGTTCTTTGGAACATATGCTGTAGAAAACCAGGTAGCCGCCAGCCCTTCTTATCGTCAGTTTTCACGAACATGAGTGGACCTAAACTGAGGTGCTTCTGGACTGTGGCCATGGATTTTATTGTCAGCCTCAGAACATCTCTTGGTGTCCTCGTGGGTAAACTATTTCAGTGAAATAGGACGATGGTAAACACGGTTTCAATGTGAGTTGTGCACTCAACCTGTTGAGGATTGAGTCTCTTGGCCAAGTCTGTGAAATTTCGTAGCTCAGCCATCTCAAAAGCTAGCACACCTCCCTGTGTATATGTTAGTATTACAGGAGAAATCCAATATGAAACGCAGTACCTCGTGTTCCTTGTAGATGTTAGCTCCGCGATCAACTAGCAACTTGGCAATCTCTTTACGGCCTAAGTTGATTGCTACCATCAGTGGGTGTGTATTGCCCTGCGCACAGAGAAATAATTCTCTGTGTAGCTATTATATCCACACATTTTAAACATATATACAAAAAATTAATGTTGCATAATACACTTGTGTACTATATACTCTCATGTAACGAGCCTGGCCTGAAATTTGAGAGGGTCTCACCATATTTGGGTCTGCATAGTTGTCCAAGAGCTCCTGTACGATTTCTGTATCACCCCATTTTGTTGCAATCAAGACAGGGGTTTCCCCAAGCTGTGTTAGAACAGTAAAACCAACGACTGTGGTATATACTGTGTATACGATGACACTGCACAACTCACGTTATTGCAGAGGTTTGGATTAGCCTTCATGGAAAGTAGTTGTTTAACAAGTTTGAGGTTCCTGTTCTTACACGCAAAAATGAGAACAGTTTCCCCATCCTAACAGGGAGAGAGAGATAGATAACATTACGGCATAGAAGAGAAGACCTACGCTGTCCTGGAGGTCCAACTGAGATGGATCTTCCACACGTTCCAATAGAGCTTCCACAACTCTGTCTTGTTCATTAGTAGCAGTGGCAAGAAGAATAGCATTGGTGTGGTTCTGCATGCAGGATGAATGTATCAATAGCGATTCGTGAAAATAAAAGCCAACCTCATCCTGGAGGTGTGGAGTTGCTCCAGCCTGGATTATCCTCAGGGCAACCTCATCATGATGTTTGTACACTGCAGCCATCAGAGCTGACCAGCCACCCTGGAGAGCATGTGTTAAGTGTTTGGTCTAGTCATTTCCAATGAGGCTCACGTGGGCTTGCATGTCCGGGTTTGCTCCTTTCTGTAACAGAATATCCACTGTACCATATCGCCCATTGTTTGTAGCCGCCATTAGTGCGGTCCAGCCTTCCTGTTTTTAGCAGAGCAACAAACAGTATAAACACACGGCTAATTCATTAAACTGACATGTAGTGCGGTTAGGGTCAGCTCCTTTGTCCAGCAGCAAACCTGCTATTTCAACATTACCCTGTCGACTAGCCTCCATCAGGGGAGTAAACCCAACCTGAAGTGTGGAGAAATCATAGAGTTACATTATGTCAACTGTTAGCTAATACCAATGGAAGAGATGCATTTGGGTCTGCTCCCTTTGACAGTAGTAATTTTACTTCTTCTCTGTCACCATTTGAAACAGCAAGCGTCAGTGCCTATAGTATAATGACACTTGCCATAAGGCACTCTAGAGCACATAATTTGGAACTTACTATAGGGTCAAATATACACTTTGTAGTGAAGTTAAAGAGAGCATTCATTACAGAGCCAGCCACAGATCTCTGTGAATGAAGGGTTAATAAAATGAAAGGCAAGCCCATAGCTGCATAGGCGTAGCATAGTTGTTATGAATTATTATGCTTGTGTAGATAATTGTACATTGTTTAGTGTGAGGCACTCTTGGTGTGCTAAAATGTGCATGCATTCGTTGGCAAACTTTCAAGTTGGATAGTGCGTAGTGTGTTCCATTGAAACAGTGCTCTTTTATGCTGTATGTATACAACATTGCACTCAGAATAATCACAAACCTCAAGAGTGGTCTGTCCCAAATATTTGTCTTCCTCAGTCTCCTCAAGTTTATTGAAAGTGTCTTCCAGTGCTGCTTCAAGTACTGCTTTTGTTAAAGCACAGACCAACAACTCAAACTTTAGCTGTGGTAGCTACAACCATTATCTGAAAAAGGTATTTGTTACAAACATCTGCAACTTACTGGACAAAACAATAGAATGATGACCAACTTTGAGAACACTGCAACACAAACTATATTTTCCTGTTGGCATAAGCAATCCAATTGTTTATAAATATTTAGATAGTAGAGGCTTACTACTACTAGGCTTACAGTCTTTAATATTCCACCATTAGTAGTCTCCTCTGGTAAAGAAAGTTTGAATGATTCAACCTGAAAATACAATATTATTATTATTGTGTCGGCAAATTAAGCTTTACCTGTTTTCCATTTACGGTAAAAGTTGGATTCACAGTGGATCCATCACCAAATCCATATAGCATTAGCTTTACACCACTGACAACATGTTTGCAGGAATTTGGCATTTAATATCCACACACCCATTTATGGTCTTATCCTTGTATCGCCATCTCCACGTCAAAGCATTGCCATTAGAATCCACTTTTACTAGTGTGAATACCAAAATTGATGTTTCAAAAGCTCACCATACAAATAACCAGCTACTCTAAATTCGTCATACCACAGCACTATAGACATTTGTGATCATTAGTAGCTACGCTTCCCCGCTTTTCTGTTTGTGTACTTGTGTAGACACTAACTGTGCTCTCATTCCTCACCTTTTCTCTTTGTTAACAAATGGTAGCATTGCCATGATGGATCTTGGCTGATCACCCCCAGAAAAATATCATAAGCATCCTCACTAGTGGTCACTACTGGTTGCACAACAGAAAGTAGTTCTCCGGTACGTTCATATTGTGATAGACGAGGAAACACAGCTCTGTTGTTGGTTTTTTCATCGATCATCCCTTTTTGGAACAAAGCCGCTGCCAGACCACCAACATCAGTACAATCTAATTCAAGTTCTTTGAAGTATGTTTGAAATCCATCTGAAGAAGGAAGCCACTCAACCTACAATTATAATAACCAAGCTTATAGGTGAGATTACTCAGTACGTCAGCTGACCTGTGACTTGTCTCTAAAAATGGTAGGGTTAATAGAAGATTCTTTGTTACCACCAACGTGTGCATCTAGCTCTAATATTATAGCTTTGACACAAGCCTCTTCTGGTATCTGCAGTCTGACGTCCACACAGCCATTAACCATTTCATGCCTCCATCCGCCCACCAAAGTATTGCAATCAGTTGGTAAAGAAACATTTGGACCCCCTGAAATAATATAAGCCTACTAACAAAAACTGAAACTGCAAAGACCCAGTGTTGTGTCCGTGTGTGTGTAATTGGGTACCACATACACATAAAGTGCTACATAAAGTACACTCTTTACCCATTGTCTTTTTTAGCAGAGAGCACAACTCCTCCATTGTGGGATCTTGACTGATCACCTTAAAAAGCTTATAAAAAGCATCCTCATTTATAGCTACTTTCTGCCACACGACTGAGAGCAATTCTTGGCTCCGCTCCAACTCCGTCACAGTCACCAGCTTCGCTTTGTTCCGGACCACTGGGCCGATGAGCCCCTCCGAGTAGAGCGCCGTCGCTAGCCGACCAGGATCGGTGATGGAACGCAGAAAAGCGACGTAGTGAGCGGTCAAAGCTTTTTTGGGATTCGTAGTAGACATTTTATTGTTGATCGCTTAGCATGACGTCATGGTTTGCTGAGCCATGGTCATGTGATCCCGCCTGTTGGTCGGTACATACATGTATGGGGGCGCGCATGCGCAGCGAGAGTTGGGTTTGTCTGTCTGTCTGTCTGTCTGTCTGTTACTCTCAATCTCACTTCACGGGTGTTTGTTCGTCTCACAAAGGATACGACCTACTTAACGGGCAATGAAGGTCAGAAATTTCGAACGGTTTTCTCTGAAAATGCTCCGTTGCAAAGCTAGAGCGCATCCGGCATTGTACCGGTAGCGCCATTTTATCGCTCCGGAAAATGCGCATGCGCTTATATTCAGCACAGGCTTACCTCGACCGGGTCCGGTCCGCTTGCTCTGTGTATCTTGAAGGCACAATAAGGCACAACGAATGGCGTGTATCGACTCTCGCATGCTATCTATTGCTGTAGCTAGCCTCTGTCAGACTCTCTGCGAGCTACTAGCGGGAGACCGCGAGTAAACGCACACTAATAGCCCAGCCCATCAATTTAGCGGTACCGCGCATTTGCAGTTCGCCGGGGGTTTGCACTTTAGTGCTTTTCATTTTCTGCTGACATTAAGCGGGGTTCCACTGTAGTCCATTCACTGTGAGAATGCATGTTGATTTTCTCAAATAACTTAGTTACTCTCTTCACTCTATTGCACAGTGCTTGGTACGATTATGTAGTTCCCATTCCTTTGGTCTTGGTTTGGTACAGCATAGTTTTTGTGAGGTATTAGAAAAACCCTCCTTTTTAAAGTATGGCAAAGTGCATTCTCAACCTCAACATACTATACCCTCAGAGGACTCCTGTACTCCTGCAACACAACACATAAGTTGACA